TCTCTCTCATTCCCCTGCAAAGGTCGTTCTCAACTTTTCGAGTTGCCCTCATTCAATAAGAACTTAAAGAAGAAGCGTGTTATTTGATTCGAATGAGATGAATACAATGAGTTACGTATCGTTTCGCGCGCAAATTCGCTTTCTACAATTATTTATATACAAATATACGAAGAAAATATGGAACAATTGAAAACGAGAATACGTGTGCGTGTGTTTTTTTATTTTGAAACGCGATATAAAAATGAGTATTCTCGAAAAAATTCTAGTGAAGGTTACATATTTTAATCTTTAGAATACGCTATGGAAAAAACATCATTTTTAAACAAATTAATATGCAACGGAAAAAAAATGTGATATATTATAAAATTGAGCCATATTATGAGATATGATACTCAGCAACTTGGCAGCATGTTGAACATTTTACGTGGTATCGTGCCTATATTTTCTTCAGTTACTTTTACTTCCCAGAGAGCGTAAGTCGAGCTTCTGTGTTCAAGATATACATACATATACATTCAATAAACAATTTTTTCCTCGTCTTTGATCTTGCTTCTTCCTTTTGTAAGGCGTATTAACGCGACACATTCTATGTTTAACATCGCACTTTATTTAACGAGAAACTCCTTATCTTTAACCCCGAGATTCGATTCGGGAAATTAAACAAATATATATATATATATATATATATATATATGTACACACAATTCTTAACGATTGTTTGTATAAAAAACATTAAACTGTGTTCGATATGGTCGTTTCCAAACGACGAAACGGATAAGCTTAACATAATTTACAATCAATTACAGTCGATATTGTAAAAGAATGAAGAGAAGTGGAAAGATTAAAATATTTGTCGTAGCGCGTGTTATATGTACAGAAAAGAATGTTTGATGGCAGGGGAGAGAGACGTGATTAGAATATTTTCTCCAACAGCATCCACACCAGCATGATCACGATAGGTGCCACGTAATGTATTGGCACTGTATAAGTCGTACTGAGCAGATCACCGCACTGCGATTTGAGGGACATATATTTCTTCGAGAGCTCCGCTTTCTCCTCGACGAACACGTTGTACTTCTCTTTCACTATAACCAGTTCTTCGTTGACTTCCTGCATCCGTTGCGCCTCGTTCTTCGCGCGGTAATACAGCTCCTTCAGCCTGTCGATGACAATCTCGTTCGGCTCGCGAATCAGCCAGTCCTTCAACTCTTCTAGTTCACGTTGTACTATCTGCCGCGCCTCCAGGCTATCCTCGCCCTTTAATGAATCCAGAGAACCGATTAACGTTTGCAGGATGTAATCCCTGGAATGAAAGGCTTGCTGTATGGTATCGTTCTTCGTAATGGGTTTTAAAGTCTTAACGTAATCTCCTTCCGTGCGTTCTTCACATTCCAGCACGATATCCTGTTGCTGATCTTTTTTGTCGACCTTATCTATCACAGGGTCAACGATAGAACTATCTAACGCATCCTCAGTATTTATAGAGACATCTGCTCCTATCGAAATTTCCACTTCATCGTCTTTGGCAATTTGTTTTATTGGCTCATGATGTACTTCCGATTGTTGATCGTTTTCAGTGTTTACGAATCGCACCTCCATCTTGCAGGGCACAAATGTCTGTATGGACTCTTGTCCCACTGTGTCCAGCTCTTCCTTCTTATTCTCTATAACGCTCTTCTCACTTGTATCATCATTTGTAACACTGCTCGCGTCATCGGTTACTTCCGAGTTTGTGTCGGAGTCTCCGTTAGTATCGCCGTTGTCCAAATTGCCCAGATTTCCATTGACTAAAGTTCGCCTGGATAACGATGGTGGCAGAATATATTCCGTGAGACTATCGTCAGCTGTTTGCAGATCGTCCATCTGATCTTTGGTAAAAGATAAATCGGACTTCAGCTTCGGATCGATATCTGACGAATTAAACTGATTATCTTGCTCGCTCTTGTTGAAGTAAAAATTAATCTCACTGTCCACATCCATATTATCGACATGAATGGAATTCAATTTGTTAAGGATAGCGTTTATGGCTTCTATGGGATCCTCGCCTTTCGAATCGAAATTCTCACCGACCTCGAGCTTTAGATTCATATCTTGCAGAGTTTGCGCGTAATTTCTTAAAGCGGTGATTTGCTTGTAGATATTGACGGAATCTAATCGCGAATCGTGCAATCTCGCTCGCAGATTCTTCTCGATTTTTGACTGATCCTCGAGCCGTTTCGAGAGATCCCGTTTCTCTTGCTCCGCACTGAGCAGCACATCCTTTATCTTCTCCTCGCTCTCCATGAGCTTGTTGGTGGTCTCCTGGAGCTTCTTCTGCGCCTCCGCATATTTCGCGCTGAGCTCCTGAAGCTCCGTTTGAGTATACTTGGCTACATTATGCAAACTCTGACATTCCTCTTCCGTTTCGTTCAAACGTCCTTCTAACTGTACTAATCTCTGAGTGACCTCTAATTTCTCCTGCAAGACCTTCTGCAACGCCTCCTTGGCAGCATTCTGATACTGCGCTTTTTCATCCTGGAGCTTCGCAAGCTCGTTTCTGATCTTATCCTCAGTATAATTCTTAGAATACACTGTCAGTTGATTCTCCACAGTCATCACCCATGACAATAGACGATCCTCCGTGATCAATGCCTTCCACGATTGATTGGCGGCTTTCCGGGTATTCTCCACTAGCTGTTGCAAGTAGCCCAGTTTAGAATACAAGGCTTTTTCTCGTCTCGATGCCTCCTGCATTATTTGATTGAGCTTGTAAAGATCCTCCAGGGATACATTCCCAGCGGGTGAGCTGACAGAAGTGCTGAGACTGGCTTTAGCCTCCTTTCCATCTGGCAGATATAGTTTCAAGGTTGCGACTATACATCCGTGGGTGACCTTCTTCGTATTCTCCACAACGTCCACACCAAATTGCACTATATCTCCGGAGCATACCTCCTTGGGCGTTGATTCCAGCCCGGAAGCGCTGAGTCTCTGATTATTCACAAATGTGCCATTGCTGCTGCACGTGTCCTGCAGATAAAACTTACCGGAGGAGTACCAGAGTAGGGCGTGATTCCTAGACAACACTTTGCAATCGAAGATCGCGTTGTTCGTCGCAGCTCTCGCTCTGGCCACTGAACGACCGATCTTCATCGGCTGTTCCAATGTCAGTGTACGCTCCAGGAAAGGATGGGAATTGTCCCGGCAGATCAGCACACCTTTCGCAGTCATCTTTATCGTTACGTTTGGATTTTTTAATAATATTGTATTTCTACGGTAGTTGTTATTGTTATGGTTGTTGTTCGGCGTGTTATTGTTCTGACTCACATTGGAGTTGTTCTGCCCAGCGGGCGAACTGGCATTTTGTACCCAACCACCGCTGCTAGCTACAACCATAGCCGAGATGGATGGTAAATCCGAGCGAATTCGAGGAAGAGTCCCTTTTACGTAAATCGAGCCGTTGTAATCCCGTCGATGGGAATTATCGAAAAATGATCAACCTCGAGATGTACTGTAACCGACACTGTACGACAGAGCTAGATCTGACGACTGTAGCGAGATCTTCGCTTCGCTTCACGTCAAACGTGTATCAAATACGCGAGCACGTTCCTCGGAGCTCGGTCATGAGGATTCCGACGTGACCTCTCGAGATCTATCGGTCGACAGGACGAAACAAGACATCGTATCCGTCATGTTTTTCTTCCTCAATGAAATATCACTTCACCGCCCGTCGCTCTCCCGCAGCACCTCCCTTATTTTTGTCGAGAAATTCTCACACTCCCTCTCTCTTCCTATCTCTTCTCTCCCTCTCTCTCTTTTCTCTTCCTCCTTTGATCAACGAATGGCTCGAACGCAGTGCTCCGGTTTCCAGAAACAGCCGTTCGGCGAATGTCGACCCGACCTCCGAGTCGACGTCGCGTCCGGCGAGCTTCCAGGATGAAAATAGGATCAGCGAAAACACGCACGTTCCACCGTCGCGACGTCGTCCTCTTCTCGCAGGCGTGAACGTGGGTTACGCTCTCCCGACCCGTGGCGGCTCCGTTCACGCCAGCCTGGCCCGTCGGTCGCGAGACCGGGACACGCGGCGTCGGCGACGTTGCCGCGGGCGTGACGACCGGGGTGAATCAGTCACGTCACTACACCACTCCTACTTTCGATACGGAAAATATCAAGCACGGACGATGTACAGACTGTGAAAATACAATGGTTCGCTGTTCCCCGTGTCCGACAGACAGTTCCCCCCCGTTCCAGTTCCGTGTTCCACTGTTTCCCCACAATTCCCACACGCGAACCACGTGAGAGAGGAAGGGCGAGCGATGCGGAATATCTGCTTTACCTACCTGGTGCCAATCATATGCGCTGATAGTCAAGATCCGGAGAAAAAAATAATATAATTATTAGAGCAGTCGTTCAAAGTGATGACGACATTTGTAATCAATCAGAGATGGGCCTTGAATTTTATAAAGACGCTTTTATTAGGCCATTAATAAGAAATTTGCTTTAAGGAGATTCTCGCGTTACTTCCTAATCAATAGACAAGTTTAGTCATAATAATATATAAAACAATTAAAATAATGGAATAAAAAGGTTACTAACAATATCTGATGCCATTATATATATAATTATTCTTAATTTTATATGTTACTAAATATTTTCAAAATGACAAAATAAAAGTTATAAGATGCTCATTTGATGTATCGTCCATTTGAGATATATATTCTAGCTTTTTTCATTGAAGAATATAAATTTCTTGTAAACTATACGATCAGTTTTAAATGAAACTTTACGAGAACAAACTTAAGTGTTTATTTTATAATTATAACTTTATAACTATTTTTAAATTGCTGTCTCATACGCAAGTGTTCAATTTAAAAAAGAATAATTACAGAATAAGATTATATCATCAATTTGTAATATAAAATTCTATAAATTTATAATTATTATAATTATTATTTATAAATATCATCAAAATGGTACGGTAAAAATTCAAAGAAATTTTTTCTAGATATTATTGATATTATTAACTTGTATTATATGTATATTAAATAGATTTGTCTTATGTTTCATCGAATGCAAGATTCCTCCTTAAATTATATTCAGCTGTCATTAGATCTATTCGCTTTTCTTGTAATCTCCAAAAATTTTTACATGTAAAGTGAGATCAATATCTATATATTTAGGCATTGAAAAGAAAATGTGAAGTGAAGAATGATGAATGCAAAAAGTGCAAGTAATGTGAATAGATCTAATATATACATGTTACATTTGGGGATCAATTATCTTAAAATTTGAAACAAGATAAAAAATTACAAAAGCAAATTTATTAAGTCTATTCTACAATACTCTTTATTACCTGTTTCTTCCTTTTTTCCCCTTTGCCGTTTTATCGACAATTGTATTTCTTGCTATGTTTATTTCTTATTTTTTTCGAAGTTCGTTAACTTTATCTCGAGCGACATAAAACAAAAAACCGGATAAGAAGATAAGTTGTACAAAAAATTGCAAAAAGACAAGTTATAAAAAAATAGCAAAAAGTAAGAAACAAAAAACAAAAAGCAGAAAACAAAAGCATTGTAGAATAGGCTTTAGAATATTTATAATTTCATTCGTCAACACACGATGAATTCATTCACTTTTGCATCTCGTTTCAAGATACACAAGATACATTAATCCTCTCTTTTTGCATCATAATTATAAGCTAACACCTTTTATATAGAAGCTTATGTAACAACATACGTGATGTTCGTTATGACGTACAAAAAAACATCGCTGCGAACTTATGACAATAATTTTTAAATAAAAACAAATTATAAATTATATATTTTTTTGTTATAAAATGACT